AATTAAAAATTGTTAAAATTCTTTTCTACGATTTACATCATAAAAAATTGAANNNNTTTTTTTTTTTATTTTTAGAAACATCGAAAGCTTCTACGATCAATCCATCACGCCATGAAAAACAAAAATTTTAAAAATTAAAATAATAATAAAAAATTGTTTTTACTCTTGTATATATCGTAAATCCTTCAGAAGATTTTTAGAACGAACCCCTTAAAAGCTTTTACGATTAATCCATCATCATCACAAAGAACCAAATGACCAATTTTAAGATCGTCCAAATCAAACAAATAAAAAATTGCAATAAAATTTTTTCCCACTATTTACAAATATACATGATGAATTCTTTCAATAGATTGTTGGAACGAGTCGATCGAAAGTTTTTCAAATAAAATTTTTTTTTATTCGTTCGAATACAACACTGGAACGATTTCCAATCGATTCGACACCCTGCTACGTGGATCGTGTTTCTTTGTGGCAACAGGTTAGAAAAAAACGATTACTAACCACGAAGAGGGTTAACAACAGGAGCGGGCAAAATGATACACGTTGAAAACGGGTTGGTGGTCACGGGGTTACTGGTGAAAATTCACAAGGATCCTTTGCTCTCCCTGTCTCGCTTCAAGAAGGAGTCTGCGCGATACCACGGTGTTCCACGACGATCAGCATCCACGCTTGCAATTAGCAACACGCAATAAAGAGATATGTTGCCCGATACAACATGCTTCTACTTCAATAGCGGCTCCATGATCTTGTTTAGTGCATTTTGATGATGCATGCAATTCCATCCTATTGATTCGAGCAATTGGAAATTGATTGATGAAAGAGAGGGATGTTAGAAGATGGAATAATTTTGCAAATACTTAGAGATTTTTTTTTGGGAATGGAGGAATGGGGCGAATTTTATCCTCTTGTGAAATTCAGATAAAATAAAAAATTTTAAATTCAATTTTTTTCGACGGAAAAAAATTCACCAGCGATTTTTTCACTTTGCTCTTATTTTACTTTGTAATTGAACTCGATAAATATTTTTAAAGCAACGATTGAAGAATACGAAATGAGATATTGGAAAATTTGTTTTGGGTTGTAGTTTATAGGGGAAAAAACATATTGGAATATTCCAAATGAAATAAATAATTTTCATGTCAAAGTGAGATGAGAAAATTATAAAGTTTGAAGTAAATTATAGAAAAAAAAAAAAAAAAATAAAGAAGAAGAAGAAAAAGAAAAATCGTAATCGTATAGATATGAAACTCGATCTCTCTTATTTAGAAAATATAAACTTTGTATTTCGAAGATAAATCATGGCATATATTTTTCAACGTTTCGAAATAATTCAATATGTATCGTAATATCAAAAATATTTCATTTCTCGAGACAGATAAAATATCTGTATATATATATTCCTTCCTAAATCTCCAAAAGTAATAGGACAACAAAATCTTGAAGCGTATACGGTATACGACAACCATCCATCATAGTTCCTTTCGCGAATGTTAAAATCTTTTT